GTTATCGTTAATTGTTATTGGTTTATTGTATGTGGTTATTGTTCGGGACGAACAATATTAAGGAGGGGGCAGTGTTGCGTCATTGAGATCATGTGATTCTCACGCTCTCTCCTTTCTTGAATTATCCTGTACTTTGGCGAATGTTCTAGTTCTTACTAGATATAGGGTAGGCGGATATATATAAGAGGGGAATGTAACGTGTCTGGGTAGATAGTGAGTAACTGAACTGCAGTCGGAAGTATTGTTGACGTTCGTTGATTAGCGTTTGTTTTAACGCGATTGTTGAAGTTGAGTGTATCGGTAAAGTTATATTCGGAAAGAATAAATCAGTTTTATTAAGTAAAGAACTTGTGTCGCAAGTTTCGTCGGAACGAAGTTACGGAAAGTTAATTAACAAACGGAGACGTAACAATATGTATGGAATAAGTGGATTAGAGTAGTTGAAATAAGAAAAAATAGGCTGATAAGTTTGTAAGGTTTGTCTTGTTGGAACTTTACTAGCTGTTCATAAATCAACTAATGTAATATGACACTATACCTCTATCTCAGATCAAGAAATGTTTATTTTTATATTGAATATAAAAACCACAACCAATGTTATTTTTGTATAGAGAGTTATTTAGTGTATGCCAATTATATGCCGTGGGCTTATGCTACATTTGCTCATACCTTAATACATCTGTGATGATATTCGATATCAATTGTTTATGGGCCGCCCTCTAGTGGAACTTGGGTAAGTGTAAGAGTGAGATTGTAGCATGAGGTTGTACGTACAGCTTATTTGAATATGACTTTAGTTGTTCTCTGTTTGTGTATATATTTTTGACAACTAATTATATTTAAATTTTCAGTAGCAGATTAATTTTGAAGGTAAGAATATTGCGGGATTTAAAAGTCTACTAATAATAAGTACCACTATTAAAATAATTACTTTAGTGCTAAGGCATGGCCTGGTGGAACTTAGGGCGCTCGACTCGCAACTTGCTGGTCTTGTGTATGACTTCGAATGTTCATCAATGTACGTGCTCACCATCACAGTCATGGGGGCATTATAATGTCACGATAAATCCCAATATTCGTTGGTACAAGAGTTGCCGGTGTTGACTAGCTGCCTTCCCTCTGGTCTGTCACTTTAATTTAAAATTAGGGACGGCTAACACAGATAACCCTTGTGTAGCTTTGCGCGAAATTCAAAACAAACCAAACTAAAAAACTAAGTTAGGTGTATTAACACCAACGTTAGAGGCTAGGTCTAATTATTTAAATTGCACTTAACGTCGTTATGTTGCACTAATAATACTAATACTAACAGTCAGTACTACCAGTGTTAAGCTGTTAAAGAAATTGTTGATGCTACTACTACTAGATTAAGTTGGAGCTGTATAATTAGAGCTAATATTACTAATAGCAATAATACTAATTCTGTTAATGTTATTAATTGGATAGAACTTGATAGATTTATAACATTTTCAAGGCTGCTAACTACTGAGAACCTGTTTGAGTGAGACCTGGCAGTTAGGGCACTAAACTTTCGATCTGAGAGCCTCGGGGGCGAATTTCTGTCATGAAACATGCTCACCCTTTGAGCTGTGGGTTTTTTTTATAATGTGATGGTCAATCCCACTATTTGTTTGTAAAAAAAGTAGCCCAAGAGTTGGAGATGGGTGGTGTTGACTAGCTGCCTTCTCTCTAGTCTATCACTGCTAAATTAGGGACAGCTAGTGCAGATAGCCCTCATCAGTAGCACCAAGAGCTAGTACAAGCCCCAGGGCAAACATCCTTGCTGGGTCCCCTTTCTTTTTCTTTTTAACATTTTTAAGAACTTATTAAAAAGAAGATCCTAAATTAGGACAGCAATAAGCTCATAAACAAGGCAGCAGCAGCCGATTTTAGCTCGCATTATAAGCGTAAAAATGTTAGTAAAGTAACAACAAATATCTATTAAATCTATAAAGTAACAAATATATATTAATTATTAGTCAAATTATTATTTCAAACATTCTTAATGTATCAAGCACCTATATGCAAAGGAAAGTCCAAAACTATGCTTTATATGATAAAGGGGCTTTACAGCATAAGTAGGTTTCATTTCATTCTCCTCTGTCCCTGGACAGTCCCCATTTTGGCAGGCCTGGTCAACGTTTAACTTTGCGTGAAATTTACAACAAACTAAGCTGAAAAAGTAAACTTTTAGCATGGGGTAAAGTGTTGAGCACTTTTTAGGAGATCTAGGAGTATGGAGCCCCTACATATTTTTGTATTCAATTAAGCAAAATGGAGCAGTCTGATGCATTTCCGGGATTCATGTGATGCTGAATTTGACCTAGATCCAGCAGGTCAAACAACCACAATGTACTATAGAATGATGATAATTTAGTGAAAATGTGAGTTTTTTTTTTGTTTTGTTTTTTGTAACTGATGTATGTGAACCTGAGAATAGGCCCAGATGCATGAATGTTGTTAGCAGTGCATGTTATTTATCTGGGATATTATCTTAGTGGATGTTTTGTTAATGTATGCTGTTCTTGTACAGGTCACAGCTCTTTTTCTTTTTTTCATTTTTGCAAAACACTAATGTTATGCTATGGCACAACTTAATTATACTACTAATAGTTATTGCTAAACTAACACTATCAGTTAATTAACAGCTACTGAAATCTGCATACAAACAGCACATTTTTCACTGAGTTTTTTAAATGTTTGACTATGCAGATTGAGTTTAGACTTGAAATTATAAAGTGAATGTGAAACCTATTGGAAAGCCTTAACTTTTTTTTTTTTAGTTATTTAAAGCAGTTTTATCCCATGTGCATGTAACTGGTTGATTTTGCAACTGCCTTACAAAAAGAAAAATTGGTTGCATATTCGATCATCTGTTAAAATGTAGTCTAAAATATAGTAAGCTATGAGTACCAAAATTTTAGAGACCATTGGAAGAAAACTGAACAGAAAACAGATGAAATAAAATAGTAAAAAATTTAAAAACATTTATTGAAACTTGTTCACAAAACATAGATTACTGTGTTATATGTTTGAAACTTTGTACCTCTCCTAAATTAATGATGAAAATCTGAGTATTAATGCTGAAACATTCTGAAGAATAAAGAAAGATATTAATTTCATTTCAAAGGGACAACATGGAGGACATTTGACCCATTTACATTATCCCATTTTTATACCACCACCCTTCTCTAATTTGCATAAAGAAACTCCTTATATTCAACCCTGATCTCCAAAACATTCGTATAACCATCTCTTAAATTCCCTCATTGTTGCAGCTTTTACCATACTAATGCAAACTGTTCATAGCCTTACTACTATTATTAATAAAGTAATATTCCCTGAACTGTAGCTACAGTTTAAAGTATTCCATATTTTAAACTTGAACCCTCTAGTGTTATTGCTTGCAAATATATAGAAAACATCTTTTAGATTTATTGAACTCAAACCTCAGTCATGCCCCCAGCACCTTTTCTTTCTTTATCAAAAGTGTGTCAAAAGATTTCAACCTGCCACTGTACAATAACTTCCAAACTGCTGAACATCCATTCTTAACTTAAGGTAACCAAAACTGAATGTAATAATAAAAATAAGGTCAAACCAGCAGCAGTGAACTGGTGACCTCATTTGACTCGTACTTAATATTTCTGTGTATATACTTAAATCTTGTTTTCCATATTACTAGCTAACATACATTATCTAGAAAGCTGTAGAGACTGACAGTGTATGTACAGCAAGAGTCCATTTGGTCCTATAAGGCTATCCTTGCACACCCTCCTTGTAAAAAAAGAAAATGTAAACTCAATTTTTACTTTTCAAGATATTGTTGGTTCTTTCTCTTTAACTCATATATAAAGAGCTGACTTTCATTCCTGCTAGTGGCAACTCATTCTGTAAGTTAACCTTCCTTTTATAAAAATAAAATTGTCTTAACTGGAACCTGATCCATCTTTTTTTTTTTAATTTTATACCTGTGTCCTCTTTTTCAATTTAGAATATAGCACAAAAATATCGGAGGCCTTAATTCTATTGGTCTACATGATAATATTGTGAACTTTATTAAGATCACCATTTATCCATCTTTTCTCAAAAGAAAATAAGTTGAGGTATCAAAACTATTCCTGGAATCAACCTAGTAGCCCTCCACTGAACCCATTACAGCAAGTTAGTATCCTTTCTTAGGTAAGAAGCCAAAAACTGTTTACATTGACACATAACTAGGGCTTTGTGTTATATCTCTATAATTCCTCTTGACTTGTAATAAATATGCCTGTAATACTATAATATTCTATTAGCTTTACTTCTAACAACAGTGCACTGCTTCAATGGCTTGATCAGCTTAGACACCACTAAGCCAAGATCCTTTTCTTCAGTGATGCATTATTTTGCACTGTATTATAATTAAAGTCCTTTTGCCAAGTAGTAATCAAATTTACTAATCGACTTAAGTCATTCTGTAATCTATAGCACTTAAACATCCTAAAAATGTGGATATAGCTATAAATACCCAGTTTAATGTCATCAACTAGGTGATTAGTAGAATACCTTTTTTCCTTTCACTTCACTTTGTTAGAAGACTCTCAGGATCAACAGCTTCATTGAGGATGAACTGGATCCATTATTAGCATGCACTTTGGTTCAACTTTCGGCTTCTACATTCCTTCTGATTGTTGTTGGAGACCACTGATTAGTCGGAATGCCAGCAGCATCGGTGATTATTGTATACCTTCATGGGCTGTGGGGTCTTGGTTCCAAGAATTTCTAGATGTGTAGTAATCTTACCATGGGTCCAAAAGCTCTGCAGATCCTCGAGTCACAATTGGTTGTTCAGCTCAAATTTTCCACACTATTATCCACCCAACCTGTAGAGTTTCCGTGTCCCACTGTTCATCGGGATTTGAACCTTAGTTCTAGAGTTATCCGAGTCTGGGTGGTCTGGGGATAGTGAGAGAGTCAGGCTAGTTCATCAAAGTTTTTATTTCTGTTAGTTATTGGGCCTACAAAGACAGGAGATTGGTGTCCAGTCATCGACCTTTCTTGTGTATATTAATGCCTTGATTCTCCAAGGTTCACAAGTTATTCATTCCTCAATCTGTATTGATTTTTGTACTGGGATTGTAAATGTTCAACTTGGTTGTAGTTGGCTTCTATATGCACTTTGTCTTAGCAGTGGAATCCCACCACTATCGGCATTTGTGAGGCACAAGAGTCAGGTACTGCAGTTCCAGATTTTTCCCTTCAGACTTGCATAGGCTTAACTTTGGTTCTGCCGTATCATACAAGTTTTCTCGTCCCTTCACTCCATTGTACCATGCACACACTATTCCATGGGCAACTAGTTATTGCTGGCAACATCTTGTCAATTGTTAGACCATTACATCTTGATTCTACTTTCAGATACAACCCATGCAGGTTTCATTTTCAGGGCTGAAACATCTATCCTTGCTCAAATACTATGCTATCAGTCTGGGTATTTTTTATATTTCATCTCATCTCTTAGTCAGGATCAGCTGTCACCTATCCTGCTCAATGCCATAGAATAGGATGCCACACTCTTACTCACCTCTCCTTCTCCCACTGCATGGATGGTTCTTTTTCTTATGGGAATGTGGTCATCTCTCAAATCCTTCATACCTTTTGAATGAGAGGTTAATTCAGGACACTACTACAATTTGGGTTCCTGTACTGCCACCTTGTCCAGAGTTCTGTTCTCTTCATGAATGCCTTGCTTCAGGGATAGGGTACACATGCCAACAGTCAGGAATGCCAGAGTATATGCATGGATGATGAGGATTCTCTATACAATGTTTTCATCCTTCTTGCTCTTCAACAGGCAAGGCCTCATGGTCTGGGCTTCTTAAGCTGACTCTTCTGTAGTGGTGTCTTACGTTTCTCATCAAGGAGGCGTGTAGTCTATGGATCCTTATTTTCCAATTTTGGACCTCCTTTCTTGGGACTAGGCTTATCACATTTTTATATTGCCATGTTCCACGGATGATGCGTGTGGTAGCAGGTCCATTGTTTCAATCCAAACAGAATAGATGTTAAATTGCATGATTCAGTTAGATTGCCTCTTATTTTGCAACTCTGTTTGGTGGGTTGGCCTTTTATTGGATCACCTAATTACTGGCAATTTGGTCTCCAGTACCTCATCTTTGGGCCTTGCCAATAGATGCTTTCTATCTGTATAGGATGGGATTACCACTCCACTCTCAACCTTCTCTCCACTTCATATGTTACCCAGGGTATAAATATGATTTGTTCCAATCTATTGCCAGATCCTGTTGATCGCACCAGATTAGCAACTACACTCAGGTTCCTGCTTCTGCGGTCCCTTCCAGTGTGTCCAACTCTACCACTTGTTTTTAGGCTCTCTCTGTGGAGACAGCCATGATCGGATATGGCACACCTGGCTATCCAGAAGCTCAAGCTTCTGGCACAGAGGTTATACTGTATTTCACACAGCACTAGGGTTTAATTTTTAAGGTTGACATGTATCTGTCTCAGTTTCTGCTTAGTCCAAAAGGCACTTTTCTCCACAGTAATTGCATGCATATTGACAATGTTATATTGAAAGGAGGTTGAACCATTTTCGGCCAGTGGTGTCAACCATAACTCATTTTATGACTTGGCTCTTTGACAGAGTTTTTTGCATCTTCCACAATTTCCATTGTTTATGGCAGCTTTACTGACTACCGTTAGATTATCACAACTACAGTTCCCAGTACTCTCCCAATTTCTCATAACATTTTGGGTAATTGGCTCAAAATGACCATTCCAGTTACCTAACAGGTAGATTAAGGTTACTTGTTCTTTCGCTACACCTGTTTGTGATCTGACTTCCATGCCATGTATCTCCTTTACTTGCAGGTTTATTTTTCCTGGCTGCTGACTTATGCACATCACTGGTCAGTGTGATTTGTGCTGTTTGTCCACAGACCACTTTCTCATTCTCTCTATGTCTTCAGACCAAATCTTCTTGCCCAACATTCTGTCAGACAGGAAAGGGGTTCAGTCCTTATCTCTGATTCATCTGCTCACTCTTTCTCTCTGTGTCCAATCAGATTTTGATCTTAGTCATGTTTAGTGAGGGTCTTGAAGGTTTTGTTGCCTGCACTTTATACCTTTAGAGATACTAGACATCACTTTATTCTGGGCACTCTTTGAAGGTGAGGTATCTTCTCTGAGTCGTATCTAATCAGATTTATCTTTTTTATGTCCTTTTCAGCCCAGTTGAATTGCCTGCTGGAGATCATTGTGCAGACTGATGTGTAGACCTCCCCCAATACCTTTATCTCACATTATATGCCAGTCTCTTCATCTGAGGGTTTTTTTTAACCCCCCTAGCTATTTTAACTATTTCTGCTAGACTATTCAGAGGAGCGAGTATTTTTATTTCTACCTTTCAGGATCCCTTGTGTTGTTTTCACAGGATGCCAATCTGTGGTAAATGTTGTCCACACAGATGTGGTTTCATCAATCACTATTTCACTATAATTACTACCAGTTGCAACAGGCTTTGTAGAAATGAGGTGTCACATAACATAAGATCACCTAGGAGCTCACCAGGTGGTATTATCATACTATGCTGGACTGCCACTCATGGACTATCATGAGTAAAGCTAATGGAAATTCTGCCCATCCTTGCTGATCATTGGATTGAATAAATCGGGTAGATATGCTTTTAAAGATTTAGGAAACTTGGTTCATCTACTGCATTGTTTCCAGAGCACTTTTTCCTCCAGAGGGTCAGAGTGGGATGTGCATGGCCCTTCTTTTTGATCAAAATCGGGTCATTATATCATTCATGCAAAAAGGTCCACTCTCTTCTCATTATTCTGAATGTGGAGTGGTCATCCTGGGTCTTTGGTTGAGCACAGTTGTTTCACGTTCCCTCCCCATAATTCCAGGGACAAATGGAAGGCTCCTTGTCCACTCAGTTGAGGAGTAAGGATGAATGTTCATAATTCCAGATTGGATGAGTTCTGTTCCTTTGGTTGAATAAAGCATACACAATCTCATCATTCCAAGCCTGGGGTTGTTGCCTTTCGGGCTTCTTCAGGAGAAGGTTTGTCCGCTTTGGTGTTGCTTACTTTCTCATCATGATTCTGGTGGTTTGGAATGCATCGCTCTACAGCTACAGGTTGGGATTCAATTAAAAGTATATGTATATATAACATTGCTGTCCAGTTCCCCTAGCCACCAACATAGGATATAGCGATCAAGTAGTGGAACCTCAGCTATCTAGTTGCAGCTGGCCTATAGTGATGATCACTCATGTACAATTCCATCCTTGATACAAGAAGAAGGGTGAAGAGCATACCTGTTCTGAATGTAGTGTGGTTCTCCCATTTGGGTACCACTTATCTTGGTACACCCATGATCTATGCAGATGTTTTCTGTATGGATAATTCCTTCACTGGCCCCTCCACCTTCTCAATGTGGGATTCTAGCCATAAGTGACAGCAGGGGTAAATATGTTTTTTAAGTTAACATTTTCTTAACCTACCCATCCTTCCTCCCTACTAAGAGCCAGTGTTAGAGACTGGGTTGTTATCAGTCGTGAAAAGGTGATAAAATTACCTGAATGAGGTGTTTATATACAGTACCAGGATAGAGGGTGCATTGATGTAGGTGGAGAGTATCACAAGACAATTATTGCCAAGGGCAATTGAGTATGGTATAAAAGACTGGAGCAAGCAAAAAAAAATCAGACTAATACTTGGATGGGCAAAAATGAAGAAGATATTATGGGAAATACATTTTCAGTTTAGGAAAATGTTAACATACTGAACAAATTACTACCTAAGAACAATTAATAAATTTAAACCTAATGATGTATATAGGTCTAATGTTGTTGGTTTATGCTTTGAAAAAAACTTAATGGTATTGAATTTTTAAAAGATGAAACCTTAGTTTAACTGAAACAATTAATAAACAGTTTACAACTAATCACATTAGCCAACTTTTTAATAAAGTTAAAAATAGAAAACGTATTTTGCTTCAATGCAGAATAGGTTTTCTACTTAAGATATAAACTTTTGATTTTTTCATTACTCACTTCCCAAGGCATTACCAAGTGACATCCCACTGTTTTATCTCTCCTTTTTTTCCAGCAAATTCTACTATAACTTTGGTGGAATATGCCTGTATGTGAAATTTGTGGAGCAGAAGAATTTGATCTTCATGATGGCCTTTATTTTTGTATGACTTGTAATACACAAACTACAGTAAGTTTGACTTCTGTTTCTCTGTTACAAAATTATTCTTTTCCTAATCATTCATTTTAGTTTTAGACAAAGGTAAAGAAAATTTAATGAATTGAATATATTATGACTACAGGTTTGAGATTTATTCATTAGATAAGTCTCACCACCAAGCTTTGGATCACAGCATGTCACTTAGCAACTTGAAAATAAGCATTTCAATAGCACAATAATTATTCTTCAGATCTGTCCATCTGTGTTTCACCACAGTCTTACTGCAAGTAATTCTTATTGATAAGTAGTTTTTTCTTTTGCCGTTGATTGATAGCTTACTCATCAATTCATTTCACCCTATCTCTAAGGATCTTCCTATGGTCAGAGGTCAAAGGCCATGTCATCGCGTTTGTAGACTTGCATTCAAAATTTTTTTAACTACTATTTTAGGAATGTATGTCAATAAGTTTGGTATCACATTGTAAATTATAACTCAAATTTTAATATGATCCATTAGTTAATTTCTTAATTTAAAAGTAAATATTAAAAATGAAATCCTAAATATCAATTTTTGTGTGTCACATGGTATGTTGAATGCAGCATTGTTTCAAATTAGATGTCCAGGTACAAAGTCTATAGATTCTAAGGAATTAGAAATTCAAATTACTGAAATTGATGAACTAGAGTATAAAATAAGAACCTCCTATCTTTCCTTGCTGAGATATCACTTGTACTGAACCACACACATTGGCCCTGTCCACCACTTTCCATTTTTGGAAACACTTCCTTATGTACAAGTACTTCTGTCTCTGACATGTAAATATCCAATCGAAAGCACAGAATGTCTCCATTTTGAAGTATTTTGACATTAAATCTTTCTTTTAAAAGAAGTCTTCAAGCTGGTAAGTTGAGTCTTTAGTCTGTTCGAAATTTCATATTTTTTAGACCCAAATACAGCTTAGTTACTAAGCTTGATACATTATAGTGGAATTCTATGGTATCGATACAGTAATTTATGATATTTTGGTTATTTCAAATGTATATATATAAAACCTAAAAATAATTATTTCATTCCACATCCTCCATGTGTGAAATTTGTTAAGGCTTAGCAACTTACAGCGAGCAGCAAACGAGTTCAAAGTTCATAACTAGAAGATAATTATTTTCTGTAATTCTTTATTTACTGTTCTATGTTTTAAGAAAAATAAGTTTAAGAACTTGTTTGTAAATAGTAATAATTTATACACATATATAATGTATTATAACTGAAAAGTGACTGTATTTTACAAAATACTAATCCACTAAAACACAGCCAAGACAGGTCACTTGGTAAAGGCCAGTTTTATATACTTGGATATGGTAATATGAGAGCACGTGCACCGTGTCATTGCAACTTCAATAATGTTAGCCAGGTATGACTGAAAGGTCAATATAATAAAAATAGTAAATATATATAAATGTATAATGTTATGAGATTTAGACTAAACATTTTTGTTTTTATGTAATAATTTTTGTCATTCTAGAAAGAAAAAAACATAATTTGTATTTATTTCCTAATTTTTTATTGAGGTTACAAAGTCAGTCAAATTAAACCAACACTTACAGATACAGTAGTGAAAACAATAGAGAAAGTATAGTTTTTCTAAAACAAAATTTGATAATTATCTGTAGGTTATAAAGATTTTGCATGTGAAATTTGAAATTGTTCTAATGCACAAAGTATTTTTGATCTTAAAATCAAAATTAATTTGAATGTTGGATAGTCGACATTCAGAAAAATAAAATGTATGAGAAAATTTTTTATTATAAAATCTTAATACTTACTTTAAAAACCTGATATTTTATGTATGAAAGCCTTGTAATGTTTACCAATAACTGTAAAATTTGTAAAGATGTGTATATATTATCAAAAATCATAGTATAATTACTCTTGTGGCTATGAACTTGATGGATTCTACCCAGTACATAACGAAAGGATTAAGGCTATCCACTTGGTGTGCATTTGTTGAACAATTTGATGATGATGATATCCTCTTTGCATATTTTCATATTCAAGGAAAATGGATGAAAGATAAAAACATGGTATTACTGCTATATAAATGTCAAAACATTTGAACCAAATTTTATAAGTGACTCATAAATTAGTAGAATTGCATAAAATAATTTCTTTATAATTATATACGTCTTCATAGCTTGTTCCTTTGTATGTTAAATACATGCTTTGTTTAAATCATTAAATTATTTCCGTTAGCAAATTTTAGAGGAAGAGGGTGAAGAGGAACCAAATAGTCAGATACTGGGCCTGGCTATTAAAGAAAAGAGATGTGAAAGAACAGTTGAAGAAGATTGGGGTGACCAGTGGTTTACACTTGAAGCATATAATATTATTATCTGTAAACAAGTGCATGCACTAATAAACTTAGGTGCTTCACCAAAACTAAAGGTAAAATGATAAATTTACTTGTGAAGCTCAGTTTTACATTTTTGTTTTACTTTTTTAGACTTCAGTGATAGGTTAACATATAAAACTTATGACCAGATGTTTGAATATATATATATATATATATATATATATATATATATACTACTGTACTTATAGTAGTGTGTGTGTTGTTCGTTGTCACTATTACTTTACGTTTAGTTAGTTACTATACTATTATAATAATAACTA